TCTAGCTGCTGGATTCTAGGTGCTTTTTAAATGAACTGATTTCTCAAAATTTTATTTATCCAGCAGAATACAAGTGTAGTATCATTCGAATTATACCAGAAAACTACGTCTATTGTTGTCTATAGAACACAACACATTTACTCTATCAAAACTGCATATTTTCGGTATTTGTTGGCTAAGGCTAGAGAAAGAGAACATGTGATATAGAAGAAATTTCTTTTGATGATAAAGTGAATTGATTCATGAATATATGTCTGAATTATTTGTATTATGTGTTTACGAGAAAAAAGAATAAGTTCCAGTACATAAGGCTTAAATACAAATAACAGTTCTCGAGCACTTCTACTTTAGTAAGCATTACAATTTCATCATTTCTAGAGTGTATTCTAGCCTACTTGATTATATTGAACATAAATTAATCTATTGTTTTTCTCTAGGATATAGAAGGAGAAAAAGGCTTATTGATAAATCACTTTCATCGAATATATTTTGTAATATAAATACGAACTCTCAAATTCAGTTTGTTTCAATACTTTTGCTATTATTAGAAGATATATTTAAATATAAATAAAGTTCAATATGTTCAGAACTGAAACTGTTTCCGAAACCGAATGTCTACTATTCAGAATTCAACTGAACACGAGTAATGAACAAACAAGATACTTGAACTAGAAGAGAATCTAAATTTATTCAAAGAATAAACATATTTTCAAATGTACTGGTAGTAGATAGTCCAGATTTTGAGATGTATTAGAACTTGTTCAGCTGAATTTTCTAAGCAGTTTTGAGTGCCTTTTCTAGAACTCATAAAGAAATTTTCATCTAAATGCGTTTCTTCTTAATTTTCTATGTGCATCAACTATGTTTCAGAAAGATACTCATCATTAAAAATTTTATGCAGAACATGTTTTTCTTAGTTTGTCTTCAAAGTATATATTTAAGAACTCTACAAACGATATTTGCTAGTTTAGATTGATAAACACTATTCATTCATAATAATATCTATAGTAAAACTGATAAAATAATGGATAAAATTTTGATTAGATATGACTGTTAAACTTTTGAGGCATGTTTGAGATTATCATATTTTGCAATATAAGTTCATTTCGCACTACCACAACATAACTAAGTTAAAACATCATCTATTCTCTCTGATATTTCAAGTTCAATGTTAAAGTTAACCTTTTTATAACACCATTTTATTGTGGCACATTTCTTTTCCAAACCATTTTTAAGATAGAACTATTCAGATGTGATAGTGAAAACGTTCAATTCTATGTCTAGATATTGATTCTAATACACTGAACAAGCTTGGAGATGTCTAGAGTGAGCTTGTGTTGCACTCTATACCTTGATTGAAAAAGATTTTCTTACATATCCTGCCCTGTAAAAGACCACCCCAGGCAGACAAAATTTTAAAAAATACATTTCTTAGCATTAAAATGTATGATTTTCCGTTTTAAAAAATCTCTTTTGAAACAATAAACGAGTCTGACGACGATAACTCTCACAAACTTGCTTTTGCCAAAAATGAAAATCGTGTTGTCAGTGTAAAAGGAGCACATTTTTACGCGTTAAAACATGTTAAAATCAGCTTTGGTGTGACTATGGATAGCCTTACCTCATTGCATGAAGTTTTTATCTCACTCTCCTTTTCTTCAACGTATATCTATTTATTTATATTTTTGTTGAATTGAGATCACTCTTTTATATAACTAGGCCATATTAACTTAAAAATCCTAGTTACTTTTATGGATGCTTCACAGTTATTAGTATTCATGTTCATGTATAATTAATAGTTATTGCACCGTGATAATGTCCTTCAGTTGTGATTGTAGATCAAATGTAGGTAAGTAGTCAAATAGCGAAGAAGTTTCGTTTTATGAAACAAAGCATGCATATTCCAGTCTTATATTTGGGAAAAAACTACTCTATATGTTTATGCATGATTGCTACATTATGCTTTCTCAAATCGATGATTCCAGACTCTGGAAATAAGCAAATTTTGCTGAAACCGGTCGGAAAGAAGCAGAAAAATATCGAATATCAATGAAACATAAAATCAGTATTTCGAACCGGAAAGTTTCCGCTGTTTTCTGCCGGAAAGAACAGAAAGTTGGCCAGAAGTTATCAGAAAAACTCGAAGACTTCTCGATCCAAAATACTGTTTCTAAGTTTGATCGATTTTCGATGGTTTTCTGTTGGAAGCGATCGATACTTATTGATCTGGATTGGTTTTGAGTTCTTTTAGAATTTTCTTGTATGAACATGTGAGAGTTAATTTTAAAAAGTTTGCTTGTTCCAGTATGCGTCAATAAAATGCATCTACATTTAGCATTTTGCTCACAGTTACACATGTTTTTTAAGCTATTACATTTGACAACTATTACTATTACATTTTTTCTTCTGATAATTTAAGAACAATCATATTATTAAATATTTAGGTTAGCTAATAATATTTCGTTTCTTGATAATGATGAAGCCAATAAAAATAGCTCGTAATTGATTGATTCATCGGTGAATAGGATTGATAGTAGTATGATATTCATGTTTCTTTGATGCAAATGTTATTTATAATACTGAAGCATTTCCGATTGCTATTGCAAACAAAATATGAAGAGAAACATTTTTTTTTATTATTTACTTTGTAATGAAACGAACACATATTAATTTATAAAGATCATTACATAAGTTTTGCAAAGACAAACGTGTGTCTATTTATTGTTAGTATTTTATTTTGAAAATTATATAAAGAGAAAAAAAACAACTAATAAAATTCACCATTTTGTTTATTGAATTTTCTTGAACTATTGAAATGTTCGATAGTTGCTTAATATAAATAAAAAATTATCAATATGGTTTCTGCATATTTTTATCTAGAAGTAAAACTTTTGCTAGAAAAAAATACGAACACTTTGAACTGAGATAGAGTTATTTTAATTCTCATATTGAAAATTTTTATTACAAAACATTGATTATTATTTTTCTTTTTCAATTATCCTTAATATACACGAAAAATTCAATAGTTAAACAGACATTTTATTCATTGCTTTTTTTTGATAGAGTACAGAACAATTAATAAATTAGGAACATCAGACAAGGTAGCATAAGATTATTAATTAAATCAATCATATATTCAAATCTGTATATTAAAATCATCATTTGTTCCATTGATAAGATTCGAACACTTCAGTTTTTAGTTTTTATCCATTCGAACAAATATTTTTTCACATGAACAAACGGAAAAGAAAAATCGATTATACATAATTATTTGATTGGTACTCTTATGTCTGTAGACTTTCTATGCACTGTTAAGTGATATAAGCCATAGCATTACGAACTGAAGGTCAAAGCTTAGTATATCAGTTGCTATGAAAAGAAATATAAACCATGAAAATGGTTTTTCTTCACCATTGATTACTTTGATTTCTATTCGATATGTTTTAAAAGCTATGTCATTTACATACTTGAAATTCCGTAAGTTCAGTCATCGATACTGAATCAGTGTCTAACTGTTTTCAACTAATGTGGGTGGTATAGTAACTGATTCATATCTGACAAAGAGAAGAAGAAGAGAAAAAAAGAAAGAACGCAATTGTTTTGTTTGTGTTTGCTGCGTAGGTTTCTTTCTTCTTGGCTGATGCCTTCCTATAAGTAAGTCGATTATTACACATACAACTACAGTCAACCATAGGAAAATTGTTTCTGTACGAAAAAAAAATGATGTAGTTTTTCTTTAGATCGTTTTTCTTTTCTTATGTATTTTTGATTTCTATATTATATTACATATTATAATGGATGATAATAAACAAGATAACTCAACAAATTCATTAACGAATAAATCGCCAGCAACATCTTCTAATGAAATAAACTCATCTATGCCGCCTATTGACATCAATGAACAACAGGTCGATCTCAATCATGACTGTAAAGAGAATGAAACTCAAAATCAGATTGAAGAAACTAATAATGATGAATTTATTCGTATAACAGCAGCACATCAAGTACTTGTTGAAGGTAATTATAAAATAAACGTTTATTTTTCTTTTAAAAATATTCTTAATTTAGCTCAAACATATGATGAACAAAAAAATTATCCATTAGCACTTCATCTTTATCGTATATGTGTTGATTTTCTTCTTGAAGAATTAATGTTTGCCGAAGGTACTGAACAATCTCGCATTTATTTACGTGAAAAATGTACAGCTATTATGAATCGTATTGATATACTTAAAACAAAACTTGATCCAATTCCATCATCCACCGAAACTCAACAATCAACTAAGGATCTTCCAATTGATCAATTAGAAACTCTTAATTTATCTTAAAATTCTTCTTTGTTTTTAATAATTCTTTAGGTAAATGTTCATTTTAATTAATATTCGTGATATATAGTTAAAAATATTTTTCTTTGTTTTTTTTGCATATTTATTTCAATCTTTCTCGTTTGGTGCATATGTGAATACATTTAATAAAACATTAGCACAACAAAATGAGAAAGAAATAAAATACAAATCAATGATAATTCTATGTATTTATATGATGGTTAACATGTAGAGATTCTTTCGAGAATAATAAAGATAAATAATAAGAAAAACTCAATGGGTGGATTACCATATATGTATATGTTTATATCCAATATTCTAACCGTTTTGCGTGTTTTGTTTTGAAAGACAGGCGTAGAAGACAAAAAAACAGAAAAGTGAATCACAACGTTTTTGTCTACCATTGACAATCAATCATCACTGTCACACACACATACATATTGAAATAGAAAGGATCATAAAGAAAGAAAAGAAAAATTAATGAAAGAAAAAGAAAAACGAAAGAGATATCAAGGTAGACAAGAAGTGATAAAAAAATGACAAAATATTCTCACAGTTAGGCTTTAAATGTTCTTTTCTTTTGTGTGTTTTCTTATTGAGCCTTTAATTTGAGATATAACAATAAAGATATAGATTTAGTAGTACCAACAAACAGAGCACATTATTATCAAATTTTCACAAAGCTGCCTGAACAGATTGACGCTAAAAGGAAAAATATTAAGAAATTTTAAGAAAGATATTTATTTGAGTAAAAAAAAAACAAGAATACTTACCCAAATGTTAAGAATATCGGTTATTGTATGTTGTACATTTAATTTAAAAAGATGAGAAACAAATATCGATGAGATTTGGTCAAAAAACGGATGTCCATCTAAAATATCAATTATATTATGCATAAAATCCATCGAATTCTTTTCTACTAATTATGTAAAAAGATAAGGTTAAACACTATTTTTGGTTGATTTTTGATAATGTCAAACATTATCACGTGAAATAAATTCCTAGAAGAGTTTACCAAAATACATATATTATTTACTATGCAATGATCATATCAATTATTGTCTATCATAAATGATCGTTTTATGTCAAAGTTAAAATTTCTAGAAGATAAAAATATGATAATACTACAAAACTGTCTATGTTTTAAATGAAAAACGACTCTTTATCATCATTATCTTCGCCCTATTGATGTTTACATTCAGTGATGCAAAAGAAAACATACATAACTCTAATCAATTACTGGAAATTACCTATAACAAATACTATCAGTCACATGTAATAATCTCGTAAAAGTTATTTATGACAGACATAAATGTCAACCGTTCGTTTATGTGAAGATAAGATGTGGTTAAATTCTCTGATGTAGACTTCGATATATAATAATGGATTTATTTGTTATTGAAATTTTTTAGAAAATTTTTCTTTTACCTGCATATTCTAATTTTGGTGGCATTGTTTTTGTTAATGATAAAATTTCAGGTGGTTGTTCTGGATAAGATGTTGTTATATGTAAACGAAGTGATGGTATAAGAGGATTTGATTTTTCAAGTAATTTACATTGAAGTATAATACCATTTTTACTTAAATATTCATTATCATTATCAATACATTTTCTTGTACATGATACTGATATATATTCAATTGAATAAATATCATCTGGTAATTGATTTATTTCATCATTAAGATTAGATAATAATGATGATTGATTAGATGAACGAATTTTTATTGTTGAAGGATTATCAACATCAAGACGTATCATTCTATTTAAATAATAGAATTTATTTTAGAAAAAAAACACAAATGAATAAAATCATTTATACTTATGTGGAACACCATTAATAACATCACTTAATGGTTCAAGATATCGTTTCAATATATTTATTCGATCTTTTTGTTCACGTGAAAGAAATTCTTTAGTTGCTTTTATACATTGATTAAATACATTTGGTTGAGAATGTGTTGTAGTAGTAGTAGTAGTCGTAGTCGTAGAATTTGTTACAATTGAAGATGTTGATGAACTATTTGCTTGTTGTAATCGATTCTAAAATTTTCTTTTCTATGATTATTTTAAATAGAAAAACGAATAGTTACAGGTATTTGTTCAAGTACATCACGAAACCGTCTAGCATTTGGTAAAGATTCATATGTTGGATTACTAATGAATTGCAATATTTGTTGATGAGCTGATTGAACTTGACGAATTTTTTCCGTATTACCTTTGAAAGAAAATTGATATATTTATATGGATTTGTTAAATTTATTTTACCTTCATTAGTAAACTTTTGAGATAAAAGTTGTAATCGATTGACATTTTCATTAAGATATTTTATTAAATTTGCTGTTTCATCATCCGGACTTGAAATACTACCACTACCTATATAATCAATATTGAATTATGTTTTATTCAAAGTGAAATTTATGATAGAGACATATTAATTTTTCATATACGATAGTTTTCGAAGAATAAGAAATCAATGAAACTTATACGATTTTCAATTTAGTTTTTATATAATGTATGTAGAGAGAGATGAGACTGTTGATTTTTTTTTTCGTGATCAAAGCAATGAATAGAAGTAAAACGAACGCGAAATGATAAATCGTACAAATATCACCAATATATTACCTCTGACACAAATTGGTTTCCTCAGGGATTCTGAAGACTTTTTTGTTTTCAATATAGTAGGATGGATTAGACTATCGATAATGTACTAGAATTAATTCTTATGCTAGGAAGGAAGCTACTCGAATATCCATCGTTTGAACTTCTATTGTATCTATATGCAAACACTAAACAGATTAACAAAAATCCAAAGAAATTCATCATCATCGGTCTTTGAAAGCGAATTATGATCGTTGTACTGAATTTTCGACTCAACTGTAGGTGTATGCTGAAATGTGAAAAAAAACAGAATTTCGACATAAAATTTTCCCATAGATAGATTTGATGGTCGATAGAATATCTTGTAAGTATCAGTCGTAAATCATATCCTTTTATGGAGATAGTGAGTTTTCAAGTGAATTCGATTTTTGTATCATGGTTGTGACAAATGACAACTATCTATATGCAAAATTTTCGACTGAAGCTCAGTCAAACTATCCTAATTCGTCTCCAAAAGGCCCATGAAAACGAATCGTTTTAGTCTTTTTCTATTCTTATTGACACTGTCTTGCAGGTTCAACATAAGCTCAAACGATGGCATCACTTCAGATAGTTTTCTCATAAGGATAAACTCAGTTTTCTTCAACATTATCAAACACAATTTATCATTAATATTGTAGTATCATATTGATGTATATTGAGAAAATGGTCTGTCATAGTAGCGTTTTTAATAGATGCCTTGCAATTCTTTACTTATTTTTACCCTTTTCTTTACTCTTCCGAAATCTTCCGAAAGAAAATCCTTACCTATCGAATATTGTTCAGCCTGATACTACGATTATTTTAGTGTCAGGACAAGAAAAGCGTAAGGTCATTCGGATCTATGATCTAATTGGTAAAGAGTCATCGTTAATTTACTGAACTTTCTTAGTGAGAGCGAAGTATTTCTAAAAATATCAAAATGCAAAATTTCATTCTGAAAATTTGCCTAGTGATAGAGATAATAATCATTAAAAACTTCTTAAATTTTCTAAGAAAATGAACGCGCCCTTCTTGAACTATTCAAGTTGTAAGAAAAAAGTCAGCAACTTACCACAGAAAGATAGAATAATAAAATTCACTTGCGAGTTGAGTATCTCGAGAAAAGCACGTTCATCTGTCTTTGAAAATTTAAGAATCTTTTAATGATTATTCATTCTCTCTATAAGGCAACATTTTAGAATAAAGTTCTTCATTTCAATATTTTAGAATGTCTTGCTCTTACTAAAAACCCAAGAAAACAGCCATAGCTTTTCATCAGTAGATGGTGGGCCCGAATCTTTCAAGTCTTTTCTTAATCTCATAGAGATCTACTTATAGTTAAAAAATCAGGCTGAGCAATGTCAGACAATTGGCGATGCTTCCCTGTTAGTGAACAACAGTTAGACAACAAATTATTATTTAGAAGTTGTTTATCTATACTCCTATTATTCGACTATGATATCGAATTATGGAATTGAAATTTCAATAGAATAAAGAGTTTTGCTTAATATCAACTACATTTTAATTAATGTATTTTTTGCTATGTTATAATTTTTGGAATGTAATTTGGATCATTAAAAACAATATAAACTAAATTTCTGATAAAAACTGTCTTGATTCTTAAATTCTTTTCTTTCCCAAACAAAATACAATTACTATAAAATATGTAGAAAACTCTCTCTCTATCTATATATATATATGTGTATATACCAGTCAATGGTAAAGTACGATTTGTTGGTGATGAATAATTAATATTCATTGGAGTTGAACTACTTGCTGACAATATTTGTGAATTGATTGAAAGTGGACCATTATTATTGTTTAAAGGACTTTGTTGAATGGTCACATGATTTGATCTTTAAAATAAAATACAAATATTTTATAAAATCATAACAACAGAAAAAAAGAACATGAAATTATACGGTTGAATTTGAACAGTAGATGTTGGAGTTGATGCCGGTATTACAATAAATGACGGCGAAGGTAAAGATTGTTGAGCTGGCAATGATGGCCGAATCGTATTTGTACTGTTATTTAGATTACTGTTCGTAGTACTAAGTGATCGAGGTGGTTGTGACTAAATAAAATAAATAATCAAACCATTATAAATATGATTATTGTCAAGAGATTTATAAATCAAGATAAAGGCCATCCCCTTCTTCCAGATGAAAAAAAATCAATTTTTGTCAGAAAAATCGAAATTGAGATAAATGCACGAGAAGATAATTCAAGGTTTGCTCTTTCATAAACGATATGATTTTTTCATTTGTCAATAATTTCTGATGATTTGAAAAATAGGCTTTTCTTCAGAAGAAACCAGAATTGTTTTTACCTTTTCTCCACTTTTGCTTGTTTCATTGCACAATCTAGATTTTTTTGTGTGCCTTCACATTCTATATATTTCATTTTTCATTCATTGGAAAGAATATGTCAAGATGCTAGGCATGACGGCATTCTTTTTTGCATTAAGCATTGTTATTATTATATTAAAAAAAGTACTTTTATAATTAGAGCGCCATTGTTTTGAGAGTTTTTTTCCATATATTGAACTTTTCATCTCTTTTCTCCGCTTAAAACAAAGAACTCTATCATGACCTTATCTTGACACGCTCTTTCAAACCCGAAAAAATAGAATCTATAGAATGAGGATCGATAGAAAATTTCGAACTGTCATATAAGTTATTTTTAAGCCTTATTCGTTGAATATCTCCTGAACACTTTACCATAGTCTTTCCACTATATTCTCAACATCTACTAAAAACTTCATATGATTTGAATATACATAGCTCAAGATCAATTTTTGAGAATACTCTTAAATTGAATAAATTGTTATTTTGTTTCGTAAAGTGTAAAATGAAGTTTCTTCATGTCTTTTATATGAATTCTGCAAATCTAACAAAACATCATCTACGAAGCTTCATTGATAAGTTTTCGTCTAGAAGTTTTTAACGAATGTTTTAGCAAGATATCTAGAAGTGATAATGTCAATCTTTTTTTCGTCCTGCAACTAGAGTTGTCGTAGATAGTGGCTCTCGCTTCACATGAATTCAGATTAATGATAAACAAAAGAAAGTTTGAATGAGTGTTTCTTATACAATCCGACTTCACCTTAGTTCAAAGATATTTTCAACTATGAAAATGAGATTTCCAGGGAATGAGCATCCTTTTTGATGGGCCTGTACAAGTTCTCACAAAATTGAAAAGAGCAAAAGAATTGTTTTTTTTCTCTTATATGAAGTTCAACATTGGTCAATTTATTGCGATCCGAACCGAGTCGAAATCTAATGTGCCATTTGTTTGAGAGACTTTGCTTCAGAGAATTAAAGCCAATAAAATAATTGTAGAAAAGTAAAAACTTGGAATGAGAGAATAGGGAATATTTGTTCAAATACATCTTACTGACGAGAGAAACTCTTCAACTGCTCTCTTTCGATTTCAGTGTTTTTCGTCTATAAATACTACATAGTTTTCTAATAAAAACCTAAAAGGACCTCGGTTGTTCTGAAGATTAGATTAAGCTACCGAATTTTTAGTATGTCTCTTTTCTAGAAGTCCCAAGTTTCTGGAGAATTCATATTGTTGAATTTTGATCTGAAACTTTGAGCATATAGAGAATTCGACTAGCCTTGCTTCATAAAAAATTCTGGAACTTTGAACCATGTCTCTTCGAGATATGAAGTTTTCAAAAAATGCATTTTATGTACACTATCCATGGAAAAGAAAAAGCTTCAAATCGTGAAAAGACTTTGTTCAAAACTTTTGAATTTTTAACGAAGTTACTCTAGTCGAGTTCTCCATATGCTCGAAATTTCAGAGAGAAATCCAAAAGCTTGGACAAATCTCAATAGGAAATGAAATCATCTTAGAACACTATGTAGTATCTATAAGCAAAAAAACTCATTGAAATCGGAAGAGTGCAGCTGAAGATGTTCCTTGATTAGTTGTACAACGATAAAACAAATGATTGATCACTCGAAATAACTAACCATAATCGTTGGTGTTGTTTGTCGATTTTGCATCAGTATTTTATTCGATCCTCCATTTGTATTCGATACAAGTATTCGTTGTAATGCTATTAAAAAAAAGGTATTTTATTAAGACGATAAATTCATTTTGTAATCCGATAAAAAAACTTACATTGATCACCGGTTGATGAATTATTGGTATTTATCGTTGTCGATGTTGTTGTTAGTGATGATGATGAAGCTAATGATGACATTGGCATTGATGATGAATGTCCAACCAAAATTTGATGTAAAATATCACTTGGTTTATTTGATGACGTTGGTTGTTGTTGTTGCTGTTGTTGTTGTTGTTGTTGAAAATTGACTACGAAGAAAGAACAATTTAGAAAAAATAAATACTTTCTTTTTTATTTACTATTTGGAATAGACATTCTTTGTCTTGGTACATTCATTGTTGTTTGAATAGAAAATTGTGGTTGAAGTGATGAATAATCTGTTTGATTAGTACCATTAACTTGGCGTGATGAATAATCTGGAGATATATCAATTGTTGTTGTCGATGATAATGGCGGAGATTGCGAATAGGTTATATTATTATTTATAGGTGCTTTAGAAAAAGAAAATTAGAAAAAAAGAATTTTCTAAAAATTTGAAGATTACACTACTTTGGTTAAATTTCTGTGGTTCACGTAATCGTGTCATTGGATTAAGAACAACTGATGGAACACTATTCATTCGTGGTGTTTGTTGAACAACAGAAAAACGAGGCGATAAATTTGGCATTTGATTTAATGGATGTTGGACTTGATTAACAGCAGATATAGATTGTTGTTGAAGTAGATTTGTTTGTGAATGTGGAAATCTTATATTGTTATTTATCTGTGGTTGTTGCTGTTGTTGTTGTTGTTGTTGTTGTTGTTGGTGTGGTTGTTGCTGTTGATATTGATGTGGCTGTTGCTGTTGCTGTTGCTGTTGATGTGGCTGTTGATGTTGATGTTGATGTGGCTGTTGCTGTTGCTGTTGCTGTTGCTGTTGCTGTTGCTGTTGCTGTTGCTGTTGATGTGGCTGTTGCTGTTGCTGACTGGTACGATTATTAACAGCAGCTAGAAGTTTTAAAATATTTTATGGTATTGAATAAATTCATTACGTCAACTAATGAAACTTCAGAATAAATAATCCAAATCAAAATATTCATATTCAAGATTTTATAGAGAATTTATAGGTTATCTTGAAAGTGTTTAAATAAACATTGATAATGAGAAAAGAAAATCTTCAATTAGATATCAATCAATAGAATAGGAAGTATTTTTTCAATATATGCCCTTCGTATGATTATGTACCTTACCGTCGAAACCAGTGACGCAGCTAGAAATTTTTTTTTGGGGGGGAGGACCGCAATAGAAAAAGACATTTTTGGACTAGCAAAAACGAATTAGCCTGTACCCCCCTCCAGGCATTTCGGTCTTTCGGGGGGGGGGGGGGGGGAGCGCCCCCCATAATCCCTCCTTGGCTGCGTCACTGGTCGAAACAAACACTACTAAAAAGAAAGAACACCGAATGTCTCTCGATCGTCTATGTTTCTGAGATTCATTTCAGCGATCACACCTTACATTCATTATTTCTCAATATATATTATATATATATACTACAGGTATTATCTCAAAATATCACCGAACATAGATATTGCCAGTAGTTAGATTGTTGACATAGAGAATACCGAATTTCGGCAAAGAGTGTACTGACTTTCATTAATAATGTGTTATGCTCGCTTATATTGACAATTCTCGCAACAAAAACGACTTTTCCAGATAAAAATTAACAAGCTCCATTGAATACACTCATTTTGAACGTACTTTCATTTAAAGTTCGCATCCATTTTATAGAAATACTACCTTACGGAATTTCAATAGTATCCACAAATTATGGCATTTTTTAGGCTGATAAGCACTTTCTACTGTTTTTGTATGTTAGTGTGCATATGTATGAAGATATATGTTGGCGTCCAATGTCGGATTCAGTCCAATCTCGGATTGGCCTAGGCGAATCACGGATGCTTACATTGGACTAGTCCAATATCGGATTGATGCAATTCGGTTCACTGAAATATCAATTACTCTTGAGATAGATGTTCGATTCGAATTACTTTTTGAAATTATGTTCACACAATGCCAATTTGTTTGTCACTATCGTTGTTGGAAAGATTTAAGTAAAAGTTTGGGAGTTATGAATAAATTTCTATAGAACAACAACTTTTATGAAAAGTTGTTATAAAGTTCTTCAGTCTAAATTTGGCTTCTTCCTGAATACCTGCAATACTTAAAACGGCACCGTGCGAACATACTTAAAAAAAAAAATAATTCGAATCCAACGTCTATCTCAAGAGTAATTGATATTTTAGTGAACCGAATTGCATCAATCCGATATTGGACTAGTCCAATGTAAGCATCCGTGATTCGCCTAGGCCAATCCGACATTGGACTGAATCCGACATTGGACGCCAACATATATTTGGAATTATTATCGAATATCTAACAAAATGGCGTACTTAATTTGTTAAAAATTCCAGTTCGGTTTTTTCGAAAAATTTCTCGGATTGAAAAAGCTGAAATACTTCTGTCGTTGAATTCTAGTGAAAAACACATCATTTAATGCGAAATTTTTGTATTGGTGACGAATATCTAGTTGCTTTTAAGTTGTTTTTTTTACATCATCCTGTTCCATACTGAGATTTTTCGTAACACTTTTCCAATTCGTTATTCAATGCAATTATATTTATTAACAAATATCCTAAAATTTTGAAAACTTGTTAATAATTGAACAGAATTTACACAGAAAGTTTATTCATAGGTCACTTTGTTTGGCAGTAAAATACAAAATTCTCAGATGCGGCAGAAAAATTTCATATTTTGAAAATTCGTAATAGTTGTTATATTTTGAACAGCTCAGCTCAAGCTAAGATACAATCAATGAAATTTTTCATGCTAGTAAATCAAAATAGTTTCTGTTGATGATAAAAATTTTGAAGATTTTTACTTTTGTCTTTGACAAGAAATAGATGTTAGAATGTAAAAAAAAAAGGAATAAAGTTCCGTAGTGCTTGGAGACGCCGTACACTAACAATCAAATAATCATGTTCTTTGTTACCTGTGTATCACTTTTATCAACATTACTTGTATGTATCACTAACTGACCTTTACATTTAAGTCTTTCTACCCTATTTCTATGATGTCATTATAATAATATAAAACTTCACCTGAAAGGATCCTGTACCATAAGAGTCAAAATCTGTAGCCTTTTAAAGTACTTTAAAGAATACATTCTATGAAAGAGTATGTTATTCGACATATTTTTGTGTCATGGATTTAATTTTTATCATTGATATAAAGTCAATATGACTCAACAGCTTGTGTTTTAGAGATACATGTATAGTTAAAGATTAGTGTGAATAAAATTTTCCTGTCCATAAAATATTGTTGATTATGAATACTACAATTGGATGTGCCTTTCTTCGCTTCACAAAACTAGTATAGACACTGGTTAATTTCTCTTTTTTTTTCTGAGAAATATATAGATCAGAAGAAGTGAATAACGATATATTTACAAATCATTCAAAAAAGTCTAGTCGATGTTTTTCGGAAATAAATAATAGTTCATTCACGAAACTTTCTAAAAGAAAACTATGCCATCGTTTCTTCTACAAAATACATTAATTCAAAAACTATTGAGAATTATTTGGATATGGAATTTTTAACAATTATTTGATAAAAATTGCCTTCTTTTTTCTCTGTTAGTTTTCAAACATGATTTCGACTATTTACATGACAAGAAATGTTCGAAATCAATTTTCAGCATCAGCATCGAGGTCAGTATCGAACATTGAGGTGAATGACAAATACCTCGGCGACAAATGGTTTCCGCCCAAGAGGTATCTTTACTAGAGGTGGAAACAGGAAAAGACAAACATGTAATTTATGTCCTGTTGTGCTGGACGCCGCCAGAGTCAAGTAAGACAGCAGGACAATACAGAATAAGTTATCCTATACTGACCTTTGACCTACAGTCTCTCTCAGTACTTTTTTCAGAGTTTCTACTTATGATTCCGTAGGATCTGCTTTTACTGAAGTATATATCATTCGTCTTAGTTCCCGATTCAGATCTCGATTGTGATGTTGAAAATTATTTCGAATATTTCTTTTCATGTAAATGATCAAAATCATACCTGAAAGTAACTAAAACGAGAATGTTTTCTCAGCTAATTGTGAAAAATTTTAGATTCGAACAATTTTCAAAAGATTTTGTATAAATGCAGTTTGTAGAGTTAGGAAAGGCATATCTAATCAAAATAGTCAATATGAAAAATATTTACCAACAAAAAAGTTTTGTTCATGCCAAAACTTTAACTATACATATATCTCTGATACATGAGCCGGTGAGCTATAAGCGTAGTATTAATGATAAAAATCGAGTCCACGACACTATTATACTGAGAATAACACGTTCTGTCAAGTAGTATATATTTTAAACTAGTTTATGAGTAGTCGGAGGTTTCAACTCTAATTATATGAAGTTGTTCTATCTTTTAGAATAAATCATCAATGATTTGCAAGATGTATTTATAATCAATGAAATTCTTACTTTGAATTTGTTGAAAATAAGCCTGAACAAATTTTAAATAATTAGTCTATAAAATACAAAATTTCAAACATAAATTAATTGCTATCAATTTCTAATTTACTTTAATGCCACGTGATTTCTCAAATGCTTGCTCTTCAATTCGTGTCGATAATTGTAATGGCCATTTAGAAGCTCTGCATATGAAAAAATAAAATAAAAACAAATTTCATATTCTATAATAGAAAAACAAAAAGAAAAATTTATCCTACAATTTTTGTATTAATGCTTGTCGTTCATTTTGTGTTACTATTATTTGTCCATTAGAACCTGTTGGTTGTGGTAGACCTGTACTCATCATCAAATCTGAATAAGAAAACAAAAAGAAAAGAAACAAAAGTTGGTTTTTATGGAAACAATAATAAAGAATCCATCTGATACAAACGATCAGTTTTCAAAATAGTCTCTAATATAGAACAAAAAAAAAAAGGAAAAAATCTTGACAAATAATAACAACACCAATACAATGATAAGACAAGAGCAAAAGAAAAAAAAAGACAGAGACAAGATTAAATATCGTAAATTTCTATACAGAACAGAACAGAACAAAAAAAAAAAAAAAAAATGTGAAAAAAAAATTTTTTATCGTTGAAGAGTATTTGTTTGAAATTGTGAACATTGGGCTTTTAAATGATTTGGACTTCCACATTGAAAACATTTTCGTCGTTGATTATTTGAATGAGATAAACGATTAGAATGATTTGTTTGTTGTTGTTGATTTAATTGATATGAAAAATTTGAATAAATTATTGGTCGTTCATTTGAATACGGTTGTGTCCAAATACGTTGATGAGGTACTATTTGATATGGATATTGATATCCATTTGTTGGATAATAATATTGTTGACATAAAGAATATTGAGAATTATTAGTCGAAATATTAGAATATGATTCATATTGATTGTTTATTAATATTTGTTGTTGTTGTTGTTGTTGATGGTGAGGTTGTTCGATTATGCTTACTCGTTTTAATTTTTCTTTTTCATTTGCTAATGATATTAATTTTGGACAACGCTTACGAATATGATATAATTCATTACATTCAGCACATCGTTTTGGAGCATTTGTTGGACATAAATCATTAATATTGAATAAAATTGACTATGTTATAAAAATAAAAAATAAAAAAAAAACATGACAATGATAGAATTTTTTTATATTTAAATAATGTTATCTTTTGTTTAAGAGATAAAAATTTTATGGTATGAGTCCGTTGACGAATGAAATTACAAGTCGAATACTAGGTTGGAAATGATATTTTTCCAGGGAGTAACGCTATGATTTCAAATAGCATCGACAACAAATTTAATACCTAATTAAAATGTGTCAAAATAGGGTTGATCGGTGCTATAGAGTAAGGGTTATGATAACTTTCATGTGTTGAATTAGGAACATTTCTGACTTGTACGCCATTGTATCCTAGAGAAACTGAAATAATGCATTTCATATGTTTGAAGAAAAATGAAAACAAGCATTGCATTATGAAGAACTTTTTTATGCTAGTAGGCGTCTCGTCTCGATTCTATAAAGAGAACGTCAATGGGCGCCATACTGGCCCGATGATAATATTCACCAAATCTTAAAACAATAAACATTATTTTGTAATATTATATCATTTTGAATGTAATCTAGTTTAAACTGTCTCATGAGAAGAGTCTTTTTATATTGACATAACTTACAATTCAAGAATTTCCTCACTTCACCACTTAAAAGTTATCATAACCTTTACTACATAGAACTGATAAATTCCATTTTTGACAAGCTTTAATTACGTATAAAATTTGTTGTTGATACTATTTGGAATCACAGTGTCACTTCCGTGGAAAAATATTATTTCCAATCTAGTATATGAGTCATGTTGTTGTGAAATACTGAAGAAGAAAGGTAATGCTATCAAAATGTATGTAATCTAAATGTTTTTCTTGTAAATAAATATAAATTATTGTGAAAGAATAACTGAAACTGAATAAATTACTATGTTCTTCAAATTGAACATAAAAAAACCAAGAATCTTGGTCTTTATTTTGATCTGTTTCGGTCTTCATCTCAGTCAAACTTCATGGCTAATGCGGGAAGACGTCTAACTGTACAATCGCTTTTAACTCAAGATTAAACGCATTATGTAGACTCAAATGAGCTGTACGTTGCCTGAAAATAGTTCTTGCTCATGGCTTATTACTACGAAAATACGGAACCTTTATCGCTTTTTTACAATAAATACCACGACCCATTCTGAAAAACACTAGAAAAACTGATTTTTGAATTTCAACTGGAAATGTTTCATAGAAATGTTCCTTATAAAATTCTCTAATCATTATGTATTGATTTCTAACGGATGCTGAAACAACGTAACTATATATGGATATATGATTCTTCAAAGCACGCGTGAAGCTAATATCAATATTTGTTTAGAAATTCTCGTGATCTTAATAAAAAGCTAGCTTTTAATATAACTAAAAAAAATATATTTCTTCTTCATAGAACTTTCGCTATGCTCCTGACGAATGATAATAGATTTTCTTAAAAGGCTCATTAATCCAACTTGAAAATAAAATTCTTACTGCAATATGTTGCATATGTGGCTTAGAAGTATCAATATCTTTTGACTGTAAACCGAATTGTTGTCTTGCACGAATAAATACTCGACGAATAGTTGTCCAATCTAGATTCAAATAAACTATAAAAATATAACAAAATTGACATTTTACTTTTAATAGATAAACCACCGGCTAGATTATGATTTAATTCAAATGGATCTTCAATAGCTATTGTTTGTCTAAACCAACCTTTTTCATATTTTAATAATGGTTCAATTTGTCGAATAGTTACAACACGTTCATCATAATTATATTGTTCTGTATAAAAACGTAAAAATTCAATCCATAATGCACCAACTGATAAAGTATTTTCATTTTTCCATAAATCATTCTAAATTAAAATTTTTATATAAAATAAACATATATATTTGTTTTTATACTACAAACAAGTTTAGATAAATTTTCATAAAAATAAACATTCCATTTTGAACATTTTCTATACAAGCAATTTTTCTTTGTTGTATTATCACTAAGCTAAAATTTTAAATCATAAATTAATAATTGAAGAAAAATAAAAAAAACAAACCTGTTGAAGAACAGGTAAAACAGGTGGTTGAATTTGTTGGAGAAAATGGATAACCATTATTATATATGCATAACTTGATAATGTACCACGACTTGCATCACCTATATCACATGTCTAGAATACAGAAATCATTGTTTTTAATGAAAATTCATGAGACAGTCTTTTTTTTTTTTTATTACTTTGGCCAAATGTTTTATCATATAACCAAGTTGAGATACACGTGGATCAATATCGGCATATGCTTTTAATAAACGTGTATTTTCAATTGCCTTAAAAAAGAAAGATTTTTATTATAATATTATTTGAAGAGTGTCGAGATTTTGAAGAAATTATTCAATTGTAAGGATCGAATCGATTCAGACTTTTCAAGACTTAAACCGAACCGAAACAAAGATAGATTTGAGAAACTGTGAACCAGTTCCACCTATGCTCTGAAAATAAACATGACGTATCGACTTTCGAGGAAAATTTTTTTCTATAACTAATGAGTTTTAGTTTGCATGTCTCCTTTTTCTATGAAATTCGAAAGACGACAAAAAAATCTTCAAACCACTATCATTCTCTGTAAATCATCTAGACTTAATAAAAATGAACGTCTATTCATCTGACAAATTAGAGTTTCTGCAGTAGTCGCAACTTTTTAAGGCGATCACGGTTCTAGAATTCGAAAGAATTTCTGCTTGGTTTCGCAGAAATTTAAATGATTTTGAGAATATGAAAATAAAAAGATAAAATCTTAATAAAAATGAATAACCGATTTAAATTTATCTTTACCGTATATCTTTCACTGATTTTGTCTGTGGATTCATTATTCTTTTTTTTTTTGTTGTTTATAGAATGTTGGGTATGAGGGTGGGTGCCGTGGAAGATTCGTTGATGAGGGAGTCTATCATATCTGTAGGGGGAGCGTATTCAAATTTCTAACCTTACACTTCAATACTTCTTTTAGATCATATTTCTGAAAAAAAACTGGAATAAAGAACAAAAGTCAATTATTTTCATAGCTATAGAATTTGTTATACTCTCAAGTAAACTCTTTTCCTATTGTTTTGTTATTTAATTTCTTCAAAATTCGACAAAAGATTTCATATGAATTATATAAATAGAAATATTTACAAGCATATTATGGAAACTAATATCAATTTCAATTTGTAATCGTCGATGTTTTGAACGAATAATTGGTACTTTAGCATGTAAAATTGCTTGAACATCTTCAAATGTATCTGAATTTGATCTCATTGATTTAAGTATTTTTCTCATTATCTGAATAACTTCATCAGGCTAATTAATTAAAATAAAATGTTTTTTTTTTAAAAACTTCAATATGAATATTATTTTTTTTTCTTCAAAAATACAAACATTTTCATCTCTTTGATCTTTAAAAACAATACAAACATCAAGATCACTTTGTCGAAAACCAAAACCATTATAAAATGATCCAAATGCATATAAACTACAATCTGAATAATCTTTTTCAAATTGTTTTTGTAATTGTTTTAAAATTCTTTCACGATTTTCAATATCAATCTGTTTTGGTTTACATCGTTCTAAACTCATAGATGAAACAAAATAACAATAATATTTCATAAATTATTGAAAAAAAAGAAATAATATTACCAGTTATATAACAACATAATAATGAAAGTATTTGAATCCATTCTTGACTTATTTCCGGTAAATCAATCATATTCGGTACAATTAATTCTGGACATTCAGATTTTAAATGACCTACATTATTGCATGTTGTACAGACAAATGGAGCACCCTTACGTAGAAAATTTCTTTGTTTTTTTCCTTTTTAACTGATAGAACACTGAAAAGAAAACTTACTTGTTCTGCATGAAAATTTTCTGCTTGAAAATCATAAAAAAGTTCAGAAGAAGGATTATCAATAGATGATAATTGTTCATCTTTTATTGGTGATGTAAATACTGATGGAATATTATCTGAAGAATTTTTATTTATATCTTCTTGTATTTCTATTGGCATAGATACAACTGATGGAATATCAATATTAGTTGTTTCATCTTTGTCTTTGGATGATGGTTTTAATTTTTCATAGACTTCTATTACTTTATCATTTATTATATGACCTAGATTTATCAAAGAAAAGAGAAAAGGAATATTTTAAATTAATTGAAGTAAAACTTATTATCATAGAGACAATATGATAGTAAAAAAAGCAATATGTTAGATTTTTAGCAGCAATTATTACCTTGCCGTTCATATTCTCTAGTTAAAGTACGTCTCTGCTTTTTATTGAGATTCTGCATAAGTTCATCAATAGTAATAGCCTTCCCATCATCATGATCATTAGTATTATTATTAGAATTTTTAGTACCATGTATATCTGCTATACCTTGTTCATTATCTGTTATGATTGGTGATAAATGATTTGTTTCATTCGATTTTTCTTCTTCATTAATTGATGGAAATAATTGTCGACTAAAAGAAAATCAAAATTTAACATTCAAATATCTATGCTGAGTGTCATAAAAAGATATGATAAGAAAGTAAATTCGTATATAGGATAAGTTGAATTTGGATTTTTATTATTTAGATTTCTCATTTGTATTTTCATTCTGAATAGAAATACAATAAATCTAGAATAGTTTTGATTCGAAATATCGAATTCGCATGTAGACTAAATTCATATAAATAATTGGCAAGTTGATAATCATTATCGAAATGTAAACTATTTATATAGTTTCTTTTTTTTCAAGATCAATTTCTAAAACTTTTATCTAGTTGTGTTTCACTTCTAGTAAAGTAAAATGGTTGTTGATATCATTTTTATCTTTTTAAATCTCAAGACCTTAGATTTGTTGCATTCATAATTCTAAAACTTTAGTTTGACGAAAAAAAAAAATGTTTTTCAAATATTATGTCGTCTATATTTTCTACACCTTTCTCACAATATAGCCTCGTTAATTAATTTTCCGTGAAATGAACACTTTCATTAGTATATTTATGTCAAAATATGTCTAACGTTTTAGAATTTTCAACTGAGAAATCTTAAAAAATTCGAATTTCTGAGCTCTTAAAATCTCTTTCTCAATCTGCGATATCATTTTTTTAGTATTCGTTTGAAAATTCTTCAAGTAAACACAATGAAAATAAATAAGATACAATAGAAGGCTCAAGGGTATTCTATAGAAGGTAGGATCAATCACAATACGATATTTTGAATGGACTACTATCGAAACATAACTTGCTACTTCGTTTTGTTTAAAAACAAAAGAAATTTAATTATTTAAAATGAATTTTTATAGTTTAGAGTCACAGGAATATCACTTATATATATTATCTAGTTTATCATCAAAACAAATTGAAATAATATTAAAATGAAAATAGAACAAAATAATCTTTTGAACATTGTAAAATGTTAAAATTTTAGTATGTTAGTCTTCAGTTATGTTTATTAAAAAATTTTAAAATACTTTTTTTCTTATGAGAAAAATTTCTTACTAGATTAATCACTTTTCAGTCGAGACTACATGCATTATTGAGAACCAAATGAGCTATGATTACCCTAAAATCCTTAACGAGAATAGTTTATTGTTGATGTTTTTCATTTTACCTTTGTTCTTATCTTAATAGAAAAGTATGGTAACAGTATCCGTTGACATAGTGCATATATAACAACAGATTTTATGTTTTTATTTCACCATAAAATCAAATAAAAAATTTTGAAACCTTCACAAAAAAAAAAACTATTCTCAATTAAGATTTGTTTCTATGCAAATTTTTCGGTCAAAATCACTCTAAATTTGTAGTTTCAATGCAGCAGCAATAAGCTAAGCATCGAGAATCTATTCAGAATATTCATAGTTCATTAGAATCTATATAATGCACATAATTTTGAATTAAAAGCAATTAATTAGTTGAGAAACTTCTTTCATTAGATGTCAAAGATATTACTTGATTAACTTTTATTAATATAAACTCATTAGAAAATAATATAATTACCTTGTATATCACATTTTAAAGACATATTTAGGTAACTATTCTACAACAATCTGTGAGGCTTAATCTAAACATTAATTCTTGTGTAGTAGTTTGACATTCTATTTTTCGTTATAATTAAATCTCAATTTCAAAAAAATTGAAGTCATCAACTACGCACTTGGTACTTCGAATTACTTTATGTATGTTGTTTAGCTCTTTTTTGAAAATTTTTCATCTTATTGATTTCCCAACAAGTCCTATATGAATTTACTTTCATATAATTTTTCATTTTGAAAAATTCTAATTTAACTAACACTGCTGCTGATGATTTTTGATCAATATCATTCTCAATATTGAGCTCATCAAAATATGTAATTGAATTTTCATCATAATCATTATCATTATTTGATATAATTCTATCGAATGTAATATTCTGTTCATCATCATTAGCATCCATAGTTTCAAAATTATGTTCAAGATCATGTTGAAATGCTTCTTCAATTTCATTCTCATTTATATTTTCACATTCTTGATCAACTAAAGAATTTAATTTAATAATTGGTTTTGGTATTATTGTGTCAAATGTCTTCTTATAATAATCACATACACGATTTTGTCGAATATTTACATCACGTACTATTGTTAATGGTAAACGTTTATAAAATAAATTATATGAATTATGTAAAGCATTTGTTGGTTCAATTATTGGAATTTCATTTTCATCTTCAGTAATAATTTCAATAAAATCATCATCATTATTATCATTAGAACATTGATTTAATTGAGTTTTTTTTATTCGTTTTTGTTTTCGACCAAAATAATTTAATGCAGTATTTAAAGTATCACGAAAATAATTTATGGAACGTATAGATTGCATTGTTTGACATAAACTTCGTTTGATATCACTTGGATCTAATAATGGAAAAAGTATTTATTATACAAACAGTAAATGAATCGCTTTTTTTTTAAGATAGTGAAATGAGATTTACTTACTTATTCACAATAATATTTGAATATGGACCTTCAAAACTGAAAGACCTGTAGTAGGAAACGTACATGATGAAAGAAAGTAGCCTAGTCATCAGTTCCTATCAATACAAGATAGTCTATTTTAGTATTTTATATGATGAAGTTTGATGTTTGAAACTGAGTTGTAGAGCGTTTCAATCACAGACTAGAGATATGCGCAAGGTTAAGGATCACAAAAATTTTTGTCATGTTAAAGTCTTTCGATTAGGGTAAGATTACGAACGAGTGAGATAAAAACTTCGTACGATAAGACAAGAGTAGGGTGAATTAGTCCATTTTTACCGAATGAATTCGTAATCACAAAACAAGTCTAAATCCAACACGATTCGTTCTATATATATAAGATTTTATGACAACTAATGAGTTTATAACCGAATGGATCAGTTGGTAAATTGATAAAATCTTTTGCTTGATTAAAAACAGAGACTACTAGAAGAACGTTTCATCTGTCTTGATTTTTATCTGTAGTATAATCTCTACATATAGTGGAAGATTCACTAGTTAGATTCAGATGCATTCGTCGAAGATTGTAGATGTTTTCTTTTTCATATTAGCATTCACAGCCGAACTTACTCATGCACAATGTTTTACGAATATGTCTCTTTGCAACTGCTGAACTATCAACAAAATATAGACTATTGTTGAAACAAATATTTTAGGTAAAAATTAAAATAAAATATAGAGTATGAAAAAAATTTTTCCCTGCACATCTCTATTACTGATAAGGTCAACTATTGATTTCGAATAAAAAAAAAAATACATCAATAGACTATCAAGAGACAAGGATATTTGCTCCGCTAAAAATCCATGAAGTAGAAAATATTTTTACGCATGCGAAATTCTATGAGTTTTCATTTAAAAATAATAGCCACGTTTATCATTTTTTCGAAAAACAATTCTGAAAATATTATCTATTCCTTTATTTCTATTCGTTCGAAATTTTTTTTTTAAATTATTTTCTTCTCAATGCGAAAAACATATATGAAAAAAAAACCAAGTTGAACAATGGATATATTTATAAATCGTCTATGACATGTTCTAATTGTTTTTTTTAACACATTTTGTTACAATAGTTGACCTTACATTTAAACATTCAAAATCATATGTTTTCGCGCATAATTATCAAAACGAAGTATTGCACATATATCACCTACACTTTTTGTGATTTATATGGACATAATACACTCATCATTTCCATATTACGCATATGGACAAAATGAAGTCAAGCGAAACATAATCATGACAAATTACACGATTAGTCAATAATAGACAACATAATTAAAAATGAAAAGCTTTTGAAATATACCTTCAACAAGTAATTTTTTACTATGCCAATTTTTATCAATTTTAACAACAGGCATTCGAGTTTGTATGGAAACAACAAATTGTTTTGTATTAAAAGTTTTAAGATAATATGAAAGTAATTGTAAAAATAACATTTCAATTTCTGTTGTATTTGTTGATTTCCATTTACGTGAATATTCATTACAAATACGAAAAAATTCTGGATATTGATTTTCATTCATTGTTATTGGTACATGATCAATACCAAAAACCTATTTTATTATTAAATTATAAATAAAAGAAAAAAAAATGAAGTAAAACATACATATTCATGTAGACATGGTAAAATAGGTGGATCAATTTGTTGAAGAAAATGAATAATCATTATATGAAAAACAATTGGATGAAGTGTTCCTAAATCTGGTTTATCTATATTACATATCTAGTAAATGAATTAATTACTTAAACAATAAAAATAAAATTCTAAACAAACTTTAGAAAGTATACGAAATAATCGAAGTAATTTAATAACTCGTGAATCAAATTTTGTATAAATTCGAATTAATTTTGATAAATTTATTCCACGATTATAACCTGATGTTATTCGTACACGCATATTTGGTTCATTAGTAATTAAATCAATACAAGATGGTTTATGTTCTGTATTAATACGAGCTTCTTTACATAAATCTATAGAAAACATAATTCAATATTTTCTTTTTTTCAATTAAATAGCATAACATACCACTTTTTGTTATAATTTCAAGTAGTTCTTTAAGTGTATCATATTGAAGCGTTTGTTTAAATTGTATATCAATATCCATAATACCAGGTTTTTCCAAACAACATTCAAATGATATAGAACCATATAAGTTTATTTGACAATCTATTCAAAGTGAAATAAATGAACTATGGTGAAAGAATTTTCTTTTTTATATATCAATCTTTTGAATTTAAAAATTGGATATGAAAATGAATTTTAGATTTTTAAAGGACAATAAAATGCATGAATGTCAAGAATTATAATATAGTAAATCCTATTTATTTCGACCCATTTGATTCATGATAGGCCAAAACAAATTTATACGATTAATACTTTATCACATTTAAATCTTGACACAAAATATCTCTACTCATTTTTTCAGTATCTTGCAAGAACCAATTTCAAGTCAAAAACTGGAATTAATGCATTTCTAATCGAACTCGATAATAAAAATTAGTGTAAGACAGTATAATCCGTAATCGAAGGTTTACTTTATATTTCTGTCAAGATAACTATAACATATCTTGTTTTCATCTTTGAATTGTGTTCAAGCTTCTATAATAAAGTCGTTCCGCATACTCATATCTATACATGTCTAATAAGAGTTTTTTTCTAACTTCTCTACAACTTGAAAATTTCTTAGCTAAAATATTGCATTAATCATAAATATTCATATTTACACCAAGACCTACTGATTATTGTAGATAGAGTGAAAACTAGTCGAAAGAATTTATTATTTTGTCTACTTAATAGTTTGAGGTCAGAATAAAACTGACAGTCAATCTCTCGTTCGACAGAAACTATAATAGGTATTCTGAAAGTGATCATACAATTTGAAAGTCTTAATTTATAAATTGTTGATTACTTTTACACTTGTAAGATAATGAAAGCAAAGTTACAACACGAAAAAAATTTAATAACAAAAGAAATTCATTTTCAAACTTTTGATCTATAAAACAAATTAGCAGCTAGCATTTTCATATATCTTTCTTTATACTTATTGAAATAATATATTTTTATCAAAAGATTGGCTTGGAAGTTCTCTTCAAAACTCATTATGTACGATACGATTACAACATTATTGAAGTTATATTTTAAAAGAGATGAACAAATAGAAATATGTAAACAGATGTAAAAAGAAAATTGAAATTGTTGATAATGTATTAAAAATCTATCGTGATTTTATTAGGTTATATTGACAACAAGCAATTAATTTATGGATAAAAATGATCAACAATACGAGCTATCTCAATTATTAAGAAAAAATTTATATTTTCTACTTTATTTCATCGAACAATCATTTTAATTAAAAAAACATCAAGATGATTATATTAGTTCGATAGGCTCTACTTGTTCAAAATTTCAAAGTCTAATACTTTGATTAAAATTTTTTTTTCAATTGTGTGAAGAATGTAGGAGGAATTTTTAAAATCTTAACAGAGTAATTCTTGATCAATTAACATGTAGCTTGTTGAATTCAGAATTTTCGTGTCTAGATTCATCAATTGAAAAAAAGGCGAATCTCTAGAAGCAAGACTTATTAGTATGTTTCTCTTCTCATGCATATTTTATTCACTGTACGGCATTATATATGACTGAAGGGTACTTGATCTAAATACATTTAATGTCACAATGTTCTCTTCAAACCAATCTTGTAGATAGTTTTCTATTCAATTTTTTTTTCATTTGATAATATCAGACACAATACAGAAATAAAATCCTAGACTAAAAAACGATCTCATATGTAGTTTACAAAGGAATCATCATAGATGTTCATTTTTGTTTTGATTCAATTCTATAGATTATATTGAAGTAAGACAAATCGTCAAAGGACTCGAATTCATGACCTATTAACCAATAATTACAATTGTTTTATTGAAATTTTGCCTATAAACATATTTAATTGTCAATAGATAGCCTTAAAAATTGCTATGAAAATCTACATATTTTTCTTGAGATATTCGATTACCGAAAACATAATGATTCATGGTAAGAGAACACAATAGTCTCGTCTACTTTGAAGTAGAATATCTTGAGAAAGAGATGTTTGTTTTTGTTGAAACTTCCATGACTATTAAATCTATTTATAAGTAAAATTTCAGCAAAATAACCATTACTCTTCAGTAGTAGATTACACATTCGAGTCTTACCTGAATATAATCTATCGAATGATGTAAAAATAAATCAAAATGGATTTGGACATCTAACATTATTCTTCGGTTAGTGAACACGATGACTTAGAGTTTCAAAGGTGTGTCACAGTCTCTTCTCGAAAAAACCGCTCTACTTCCTATCCCCAATTATAACAAAAAATCTTTTGTTCGATTCACTGGTCATTAATCTTTTCCTTAATTTTGACGACTTCAGAACACGGATGTACTACAATTTTCTCATATAACATTAAATTATTTAGTTAATAAAAGGCTATCTTAAGATTATGTTCAGTCATTGGAACTTTAGCTTACTGAACTCTATTCTTTTCAATCATGATAAAGTATAATGATTTGACTAAAAGATTTCTTAGATCATATATACCTGATCGTGACGCGAGAATTTGACATAATTGACGAAATACAGTTTTTCGTAATATCAAACTATTATCTGATAATAAACGTTCATTAAGAATTTTATTAAAAGCATGTTGTAATGCATTTAAATGTTCAGGTGTTGGTTCACGAATGTCAACTGTTGAACGACCAATTTCAATCTAGTTATTTTAAAAATAAGTAATCAAATATCTGTAATGCTATTTTTTTTTTGTTCTTCATACTTTTCCAGGTGAACCATCGATTTGATCATCATGGCTTCGTGCTAATAAGAATGAGAAATAAAACATAAGAAATATTTCATCATTTTATATTTAAAAAAAGGTTCTGTTTTTTTACATGAATCATTTCGTATAAATGTTTTATTTTTCTTCCGTCTTTCAAATGTTGATTTAATGTCTAAACATTCGATTAATGGTTTTGGATTAATTCGTTTATTAAAAATTGTATTTAATGATGAAGTTTTTAAAGGATCTTCATCCATATTTCTGAAAAATAAAGAAATTAATTTTGTCCTTCTTCCTTCATTGACAAACAACGAGCAAACATACGTTTTGTTCTCAGCTTCCTTCGCATTTGTCTCTCTCGCTCGCTTGGAATGTTTGGCTATCGTATACATTGTAAAAACCAATAAGATTCAAGAATAAATGACATCTATGTTGAATAAATTAAATTTTTTCTAAAATTTTAATCGAAATAAAATGAGAAATAAACATAAAGAAATTTTTTTTTATTTTAAATTTTTCATTTAAAATGATTTAATTAATATAATGAAGAATATTTCTTAGTAACGATAGAATATTCATGAATAAAATGAATAAACGATTAAAGAAAAGTTAAAAATGAGTTTAACAACTAAACGACAATTACCAAATCTAAATAATGAAAAAATTCGACAACTAAATTCTGTATTAATTGTAAAATTAAAGTTTTTTTTTCTTCTTTTTGAAAGAAAACATTATTATGTTTTTTTTTTTTGTAATTTAGAATACAGAAGATAATATACGAAATGTTCAACAAAATTTTGAATCATTTAAACAAACAACATCTTTAGGCGATAAAGTAAAATTTGGTTTTTTTTTTAGCTTTTTGAAAAAGAAAAACGTTTATTATTTTTTTGGGGGGAAAATTTTTAGTTTAGAAATAATAGTAGTAAATCAACAATACAAAGAAATAAAGGTGATCGTTTCAATAATGATGATAGCAAACAATCGATATTATCAAATGAACATGAAACTAGTAAAACAACAAAACAATCATTGTAAGTTTTTGAAAAGATTTAATATTATAAATTCGGGTTTTAGAAGTAATAGAAATTCTATCGATTCAATGATTTCATCAAAACACGATTCAATTGTTCAAGAGGTAAGATCATTCAAAATTTTATGAAATAATATAATGCTTAAAGGTATTTAAGATTGAAAGCAGAGAAGTTAATCTTATACGATGCAATTCTAAGAAAAACAGTGTTTAACCTTGATGTCATATTACAGAATTCACAAGGAAAACATCCACTGAGTATTAGAGATGTGTTAGAGCAGTTGTTGATGACATTACATCGGATTTCATACTAGAATCTACGGGAATACTTGTATTAAAAGTGTTTTTAGTGTGGAATCGAACTAGGCCTCTTCTAGTATAAAAATGATGCGTTAGTCTAACATGCATCAATAGCAAAGTGAAAATCCTAGAAATGGATCATCGTTTTCTCAATTCATTCGTTCTTGTAATTGAATCTTAACATTAGACCTATATGCTTTGTATATACACACACACATGAGTTTATCTACTAAACAGTTTATCGTTGACGCTTATTGATTTAACATTACAGTAAGGGTGGATTGGGACATTTTTAAATCACTAGATTTATCTATTGATAATACATATCAAGAGTCAGTCGACATCCTCAGCTGATCGTTCGCACTTTCAATCAAGTACTTCCTTTCAACTTAATTTTTTCCATCTGATGATAAGTTACAAGACGAAATCTATTGAAAAATTTTTGAAGCTGTCGAATACAGTATCCTATGTTGACATAGATCATAAAACCATATAGAATAAACGTTGATGACTTACAAAAGAATTTGTCCAACTAATAAATTTCGTCGAAATCATATTTTGCTGATTGTTAGTATAAAGAATGTGAACTCCTTGAGAGGCTAACCCGGTAGACAGAAGAAGTTGATTCTCTGATCGGAATGTCTTCTATTGTGAAGTAACATTCTGTATATATATATATAGGTGGACAGATGATAAACAAGATAAGAAAAATCCAATAAGAATGATGAGAGCAAAATGAAAACATCAGGTGACAAGAAGAATGCGAAATGAAAAAATCCATATTTGAGTGGAGAACGGAAAAAAATTGAAGAGAGAAAAATACATTAGGATAGAAATATCACGGAGTGGAAATTGGTGTCTCCACGATAATTACGATCCAAAGTTTAGATAAGAACCCTAACAATATATATATCATTACTGCTTTCTTCTTGAATTATAATCAATTTACTTACGTTTCAGTCTTACAAGGAAATTTGAATCAAGTAATTTTTATTTGAAATTTTATTTAGAAATAGATCTCATAGTCCTTATAATATTCTGTGATTTTCAACAAAGATAGATAGTTTCTTCTCAATATATTTCACAGATTACTCATTCACGTCACGATCGACGTTTACAAGAAATAGAAAATGACATAAAACGACATAGAGAAGAACAACAACAACAAAAATTAACAACATCAATACATAATGATGGTAGTAAAATTTTTCAAACACGTCGTACATTTAATAAACAAATAGTATTTCTTTATATATCTCTTTAATTCTTATCAATATACGATTTATAATATTTAGTATGAACTTCCATTACAAAATACGAAACGACAATTAGAAGAAAATGAAATAAATAAAACTTTATTTACACAACAAGTATATAAAGTTGATTAGAATTTTTATAAAAATTTAATTGAACATTATTTTAGAATTCAGCAACTTTACTCGATTGTGCTAAAACAATTCGTGAAAATGTATGTATTATTTTGAACAAAAAATGTGTTTAAATTTCTATAGACTTCATTTTTTTTTTATTTATGTGGTTTATATATATATAATTTAGGTAACACAATTTAAAAACCAATTAATGAGAAATGAAATAGTAAATGAGAAACAAATACAAAGTACTGAAGAATTATCTTCGTTATTAAATCGACGATCAAGAACAGGTTAGATTTTTATTATTATTATGAAAAGATAAATTCTTTGAGAGTTCGTTAAATTTGATTAACTGTTAAGGATTTCATTTTTGACATTGAAATTTATTGTTTGAAAAAAAACGATCAATTGTACTCTTATGTAAATAAGATTAGAGAAGATCTAACGAGGGAACATTCCCAAGTGTCCCATCGTTTTTGAGTTCGGACTCTATGCATAAGATAGATCCCAGTGATGTATGAAAAACCCCAGAAGAATAAGTGCCCTTAGGCCTTCTGTCTAGAGTTATAGGCATTTTACCGAAATTTTAGCCTTTGGCATGGTATATACCGAGAAATCGAATGACTGTATTTCGACCTGAAATTTTGTCCACAAATAGATCTATTTGTGAGTAGAATATCCTGAAAATTTCAGCTCAAAAGAATGTTTTATTCCTGAGATATTAAAGTCCCAAAAAACAGTAAATTCTAGCATCTTTCGTGGGATATTATATATATATATATATATATCTTTTAACTGATGGATATTATCTTAATAATCTAAAATAACTTCTTAATTAATAGAACATGATCATGTTCAAATGGAAAATGAATATCTTATGAAACAACAAACAATGCTTTCAAAATCAGCAACATTCAATGAAATGCTTAATTTTAAAAGAGAACTTGAAAAAAGTGAACGACAACGTGAAGGACTTTCCGATGAATTAGAGGTTTATTTTTTATTTTAGTTTTTAAAATTATTTATTTATTATTTCATAAATAAATTTAGTCATTAATTAACATATGTGATGAAAAAGACAAACTTATATCAAAAACATTACTTGAATTAAAAGAAGTAACAGAAAATTGTGACACATTTGAACGACAAAATACTAAATTACAATATGATTTAACATTAGCATTAGAAAAATTAGAAGAAATGACTGAAGAAGCTGAACAATTTGCAAAAGAATCAACAAATTCTCAAAAACAATTAGCAGATTCTGAACAAAAACGAGAAGAATTTCAAATTCAAGCAGAAGAAACAATTAAACAGTAATACAATATATTTTTTTGACATTCTATAATAAAATATAATTTTATTTAGATGGAAAGCTCGAGTAAAAAAATTTGAAAAAGATATAGAACGTTATAAACTTGATTCAACACAAATGTTAGAAAAAAATGAACAATTAATTAAAGAAATCAATACTTTTAAATCACAAGAATTAATTTTACGAGAACAAATTACAAAACTTGAAACTGATCTAAATTTAGCCAATGTTTGTATATATTAATAATTTTCAGAATTTTCAATTATTTATTTTAGACAAATTATAATCAATTAGAAGAACAATTTAAACGAAATGAAAATAATGTAAGAAAAAATATTTTTAATTTAAATAATTTTAAGAATATTTAATAGATTATTCAACTTCGTGCAATTCGTGCATCACAAGAAGTTGAAATTACAACGTTAAAAGAAACAGTCTATGAAGTAAGATTTATTATCATAAAATTACTATTAATCGAGAGGAATGCAACAAGAAGACAAACCGTTATTAATTTTGCTTGTTCTCAGTAGACTCTAGTGGATGACAGAGTCTCGTCTTAACTTCGAGAGGTTCTTGCACTAGAAGATCTTTATGGATGTATCTTTTATTACTGTCAATTCAATCATGTCAGAAAATGTTTCTTTTTTTTTTTGTATTCCGATCAATCTATTATTTGTATAATAACAACAGTTATTAATTTAAGCTTAATTCCTATCTATAACGCTGATGCTACGTCTAAATCAATTCTCAAATTAGTTCTATATAAAAAAAGTCATTTGCTTTTATATGTACATGTATAATAGAAAGAAGACTTCTACCATAAAAGTTCCTAATGAGATTGGTTGATTATGGAACTAGTATTTTCCTTCTAGATGTGTAAATATATAAAGAAAATTTGGTTTTATACAGAAGGGAATTCTGAATGTTCTGCATCTTAGAATAGGAGATACTAGAAAATTTATCACTTCCTCAATAAACTTATCTCATTGAGAATTTTGTTCGTACAAAGTTCGAAGTCAAGTTTCCACGTGACCACAGTTTTTTCTTAACAAAAAAAAAAGTAGTAAAATTTTGATATCCTAAGAACGAAGGTCCAAAAAGTCAAAACATTTCAGACTTTTCTATTACTCACTAGTACTCATCTAATAAACATTGTTTCGATTGAAAAAGGAATCGGACGCCTGGAGACGTTACTTCGTGAGCTGATGCAGAAACCTGCTGTTAAAAGAAACTATTTTTATATGATTTCGGCACGGTTCTATCAAGTCGAATAATGAGAATATAAGATTCTATGTTAAAATTTCACTTATCTTTGAGTAGAGGAAGTTTTTTTTAGCGATTATCAAATGAATTTGAATCTGAACTTGAAAAGAAATCATTCCAAATATAAAACGTGGATAAACTCTTTTATTATTATTTTTTCTTTTTTTTTTTGCATTTAAAGTTTGAAAAGCAACTCTCTATTCAACGACAATGTCAGTTAAAAATTGATAAAGAAAAACAGAATCTTCATCAATTATTACAAGAAGAAATCAATCATCGACAAAATCTTGATTTAAAATTAAAACAATCTGAAGTTTGAATTTTTTTCTTCTAATTTAAAGGAAAAATTAATTATTTCATATTTTAGAAAGATATTGAAACAATAAATACATCTCGTTCTCAATTGCAACAACAAATTATCGAACTTGAAAATGAACGAACAGTAGAAACTATTTCTCTTATATTCGTTTTATTTAAAAACAAAAGGATGACATTTTATTTTTAGAATTTATTACAAAAAATTAAAGAAATAGAATTTGAAAGAGATTCATTAACAAAAGAAAAAACAAAATTTATTTCATTAGAAAATGATTATGAAGATATTAAAGTTTGTTGAAATAAATCTATTTTATATATATATAAAATATCAATATTATATTTTTAGAGAAAATTAGAAATAACTAAAGTTGATTATACACATGGTATGAAAGCATTACAAATGGATTATGAAAATAAAATTGAAATATTTCAAGTAAAATTCATTTCGTAAATATAATTATTTTCTTGTTATCATTTGATTTTTCTAGTTACAATTATCTGATGAAACATCACGAATTGCTATGTTACAACGACATGAATTAGAACATAAACAAGAAATTGAAAGACTTCAAGAAAAAGCAGCAAAATTTGAAGATGAAGCAACTCAAGCACACTCTACTATTGATATTTTATCAAGAGAAATTAATGATAAAGTAATTATTTATTTTAAGGAGACAAAATAAAAATTCTACAATATTTATCTACGATCATCTTTATGTTAATGATGGAATCACCCAAACTTATATCCATTGCTTGAGTTAATATTGCAGCTAGAAGAAAGTGTCGATAAGACTAGAAAAAACATTAAATTGTTCGTCCACAGGGTTCTTTAGAATTGAATGATGGTCATTTCATTGAATTTTTTATTCAGCTTTACATATATACCAAAAAATTAAAAAAAGGAGAACTTTGACATCAAAATTAGTATCATCGCATTTCGTCGACAACTTTTTCTTCCTTTGACAGTTCGCAATTTAATAATTAAGCACTGTTTTAGAAGTGAATCACTATTAGTGTTTTATAGGAGATAGTTCAAATATATAAAGATATGGATACGAATGTGATTCTTGGTGTAGCTATGGATGTTGATGTTAGTGTGAGTTAAAAGAAGATCAACATCCACATCCGTTCTTGTTCAATGTTATTATTTAAAAATACACAAGTCTATTGTTATTAGTCATTTTTCTAGATTGAATTTTAACGAATAAGTAGTGACTCTTGACATGGGAGAAAATCCAAACATCGGTGCTTCGAAGTGCGAATGAAGTGCTATACTTCACGGCACATACTTAAATCTAGATTGAAAACTTAGTTAAGCGACTCCAACTGGGCTCCAATTGCCCATCAAAACGAATTTTTGTAGACTTTTACTAGTCTCACCAAGGTATTCTTGTAAGCCGAATATAAGTTCAAGCGGTAAGCATCAGTTGAGGTGGTTCCCTCGTCAGTCTTGGCAGTTTCATAGCTCTATATTAAGCAATATAAATCGATCGATTACAAGTTTCTGAAAGATGTAACCAGATATGGCGCTACGAGCTTGAAATTCTTCGATAACTTGCATAATCTACTTCTTATTCAGTAATGAATGAGATAAAGAACAAATATTCTTATCTTTCTATATATTGATAATTCGATTAAAATATTTTCTTTTATTATAAAAAATTTGACATAGATTAATTTATATATTGTTGTGTGTGCTTTTTTTAGGCTAGATTGATCGATGAATTAGAATCAAAGTATGCATTAAAGTTTTATTTACTAACAAAATAAAAACATTATCTATTCATAGAATTAACAAATTGACTGTTGAAACAACACATCAAAGAAATCAAATTATAAAAAAAGAGAACGATTATCAAGTAAATATAAGGATAATTTTTATCTTGAAAAGTAAATAAATTATCTATTTAGAATTCTTTTCAAACTATTTACAACGAAATAATCTATTGTACAGAATGTTTATCAAATGATTCTAATGAACCATTTGTTATTATCGAACCTGCAACAATATCTCGTGATGATATTGAAGTTTGGTTGAGTAAATTTAAAGTAAAACAAAAAACTAGCCGTTAAAATTTGACTTTGTTTTTTTTTTTCTTATTTTGAAAAACAAAAAGGCTCATCTTAGTTGGCTTAAACAAGAATTAGAAATTCATCAACAAGAAGAAAAAAAACTTCGTCAAGATCTTGATAATGCATTACTTGATTGTGAATCTGATCGAAAATATTTTGCATCTGAATTAGCAAAACGAGAAATTATTATTAATGAAATTACTAATAATCGTCAAGTTTGTGAACGAGAAACTTTAAATACATCGAATGAATATAAACAAGTCGAATATAATAAACATCATATATTAACTGAGGTTTATTTTTTCTAATTCTATAAAAATATCATAAATTTTTATTTTACATAGGATGAACGTGATCGTATTGATGATCGATATCGACAGTAAGATATTCAATATTATTCATACTTATAGAATTATGTGCGTGTTTCTAAACTAATTATCAGATTTCGACTCGGATTTGATTCAAAAAATGAATTCAATTTGATTTCTAACTAGACTTTTATTTATCTATTATTTAAACATAGTCTCACTGACAATGTTTTGGTATCTAATTAAACAATCATTCTTCTCTATCAATATTTGGCAATGTTTCATCGATTACAGAGTCTTATGGCAGTCGTTTTGTTTATATCTGCTGAAGTCAAAAGAAAGATTCTATATGGATTTCGCTGACTATTTATATCTATTGGTATGAAATGACTTCACAGAATATAATCGAGTTGGAATAAACAGTTAAAATCAGTACAGAAAGTTCATGCATTCGCATGTTTATTATGACACAAAAACTAATTTTATTTTCATGATCAAATTTGGTGACTTATTCATCATTTGTTAATATTCCTTTCACAGCTATCGAACAAAGAATTTCTTTACTTTGTCGAAAAGCTATAATTAGATCTTCAAAAAAAAAAAAAACAATGAATATTAACATAACTTAAAGTATATATTCTACTAATTGAGCTTGAGATTTTCTATTTTAATTGATCAACTAATGAGAATTCGAAATTAACAGAGATAAAATCAAATCCTAGTCTGGATAATAAAATACTAACAAATTTATTATTACTAAAATCTTACACTGTATATATATAATGAAGTATTGAATACACTTGCATTTTCTAATGAATATCAATTTTAATTGACTTTGTATTTTGCTTGGAAATTTTCATAAATTTAAACCTTTTTGTTTTTTTTTTTTTTAGATTTCAAATTATGATCGATTCAGTTAAACGAGAATTACATACAGCAAAATTACAACTTTCAGCTTAATCTACACAATAAATCTCAATTTTTGTTCCACTATAAATACTTCTGATTTTATGATGTGCTCATATTTACAGTAGTAAATCTTTTAATTTTTGTATTGTCTTAGTGTTTAGTATAACTAATCTTTTGCATCAGATAATCATTAACGATATTGCTATAGTTTTTTTTTAGATAAAAATCAGATAAAAGAGTATTAATTTGAAAAGATAATATGGCTGTTAAAACTGTAGCAACAAAAACATTTCAAGGCCGTAATGAACGTCGTCGTGGAATAACGTATGTTATTTTAGTACGAAAATCAGAATGATTCTGAAAAATTTTCAAATTAATTCATTTATAAAACATGATTTTAGCATGCAAAAAAAAATTCTTTCATTTCAATGCACACTATTTTTGTTTTGATATCTATACGTTTATAACTCGATCATATTACATTAATTTAAAATAAGTTATTTATTTGTATAGAGATCGTCCAGTTCGTTTTCGATGTTTTCTACAAAATACAATATTTGATGTTCTTAAAAATCGTGGATGGATAGAATCACGAGAGTAAGTAACTCATATGTCTTGAAACAAAATTTGAATTAAATTATTTTTTAGAGATGAAGAATGGGATTTTTATGTAAGTAATCATATGAAATAAAATTAAATATTAATGTTGCTATTCTATTAGTGGTGTGATGTTGGTTCAATGAAAGATCTTTTTGATCGTGGTTATTTTGAAGAACATATGCGTATTAATCATTTTAGAAATCATTATGAAGTATATATATCCTATATATTTATCTCTAATTGAAATCATATTTATTTGTATTTGATAATATTTTTAGCTAACACGTAAAGATTTAATGGTTAAAAATTTAAAACGTTTTCGAAAACAAGTCGAACGAGAACAAGGTCGTTTAGAAGCACTTAAATGTGATTTTTTTCCAACAACATATGTTCTTCCAGTATACTATTTGATTTACTTTAGAAAAGAAATAATTTGCAAATTTCTATTTAGTCTGAATATCATTTATTTGTTGAAGAATTTAAACGAAATCCAGATACAACTTGGATAATGAAACCAGCAGCACGTGCTCAAGGGAAAGGAATTTTTCTTTTTCGAAAACTTCAAGATATCACAGCTTGGCGACGAGTAACTAAATTCTATTTTTCTTTCAAATGATTTATTTATTTTATTTAGGGTGAATATATGACAGCATATGATAAAGAACAAAATCGTGAAGCTGTCGAAACATATGTCGTAAGTTATCTTAATTTAATAATCAAATATATACATAGAATATCTTAGGTGCAACGTTATGTTGATAATCCATATTTGATTGGTGGTAAAAAATTTGATATTCGTATATATATGTTAGTTACATCTGTAAGTCAACTTCTATTTTCAGATTTTTATATATGCATAAAAAATCGAAGATAATTGTTGAACATTGTAAAAAAAATGATGAAATAACATTATGAAATTTTTATAAAGATTCAATTTTAATACATCTCATCTTGTTGAAAAGTAACGAAAACAGATAACAATTGATATCTAAACTCAAGCATATTTTTTGTTTTGAAAAATTTCTTCAAAGTTTTTCTTAAGAAATATTTAAATATAATTAGTGATATTGAAATTTTAATCTATAATAAGATATTCTTTATTTTAAAATATTCAACAAAAGTAAATGAGTACGCTTATTGTTAAATGATTTGATGATAATATGTTATAGAAACAAGTTTTAGAAGAAAAAAAGGTCTATTATTATAATTTCACATTATACCAATGACAATTGTCTATGTAAATAAGGTGATATTTATAATATTAATAGAACTTAAGAAATCTCACGATAAATACATATTTTAATCATTTATTACCAATGGGTATATTAGATAAATATCTTTGTCTATTCAATTTCTTAAATATCTCACAACACTCATTCGAAGAAATATTTTCAAAATTTTTCTATGTTGTTTTTTTTGTCATTTTCGTAGTATAATCCATTACGAGTATGGCTTTATCGCGAAGGTTTTGCACGTTTATCTGGTACTCGATATACAGTAGAAAGTATTGAAGATACTTGTAAGTATTATTCTGAATAAATAAACAAAAGTACAATTTTCTTTTTCTTTTACAAAAGATGTTCACATTACTAATAATGCGATTCAAAAAACGGCACCAAACTATGATCCTGATAAAGGTAAAAGAAATATTTTCTAAATTTCAAATATTTATTTATTTTTTTCATTATTAAGGCTATAAATGGTCTATGAGTCGTGTTCGACAGTATCTCATAGCTAAACATGGTCATGAAATTGTATGTTTTAAATTTTCTAATCAATTAATCATTAATTTTATTATTATTATTATTGAAGGTTGATATAATGCTTAAACAAATGGATGATATATTTATAAAAAGTCTTCAAAGTGTTCAAAAAATAATGATTAATGATAAGCATTGTTTTGAATTATATGGTTATGATATATTACTTGATGCAAATTTAAAACCTTGGTTAATTGAAACAAATGCATCACCATCATTAACAGCAAGTAATCAAGAAGATAATGAACTTAAAATACGTCTTTTAGATGATATGCTTAATGTTATTGATATGGAAGGACGTTTAACAGGCAAAGAAAAACGTATTGGAGGTTTTGATTTAATTTATAATGATGGTCCTGTTTATTATGATGAATCCGGTGTTGAAACATTTAATCTTAATACTTTACGTTTAAATAGTTTTCTTGGTAAAATTTATAATATTTTATTTAAATTTTCTATTTAATTGATCTTTTATTGTTGTTTAGGATGCGCTAACGATCGAAATGTACAACTTCGACATCTTTATCGACAAAATCAATTAATTAAACGAATGGAAAAAGCTGCAGCAGCAGCAGCAGCAGCAACAACATCAAATAATACTAATTGAATTTTAGTTTTTATTATCTAGTCGAATTATTTTTATTTGTAAATAAATATTTAACAAATTTATTTAAAATCTATATTAAATTTTCTTATGTTCAAAATTGAATCATCCATTTTGAGAGATGATCTTCTTTTAGTGGATCTGTTTGTTTTATTTTATAAGACATTTCGATTGAAGTGTCTGATACGCTTCAGTCAATTCTTAAGCACTTTTTTTAGTGTTTATTCACGAATCAGATTATTTTATTAATTAATTTTTTTGTACTATTACTGTGATGTACTGACAAATAACACTGGTGATTTATCGTATCAATATTTAAGTGTATGTTGAAGTTTTCTTTGTCATTGTATTTCTGTTCATTCACTATGCATATTCCTTTTGTTCTATTGAATATTCCAGTATGTCACTGCCCATACATATATATATACGTGTAATCTTACCTGTTATCTCTCGTTTGTTCTTATTCATCTCGGCTCTTTCTTCTTTCATCTTACGAAGATATTGTCTCTGCTGATTTCTTCATTTCTTACATACTAAATAAACTAGGTATTAACCGTAATTTCTGACTTTCTCAATTAATGACGATCGGTGACAATTTCAATCAATGTTCAGAAATATTTCGAGTACTTTTTGCTGAATGTAAAAAACCATCAATGATCATAATGTATACTAAAAAGAGCGGACATATTATCTTGATTTTGGCATTCTTTTGACAAACAACAAAGTAATTGGAAGAAAACATCAGAGTTTTTATTAATTAGATGTAAATCTTCAGCAAATCGTATAGATGAAAGAGACAGAAATGAAAAATTTCTATCGGGTGTCTTATATGGAGAAGTGTGTTGTTAGTATTTTTGAAAATTATCCTCTACTACACCCTTGTTTAAAACATTTTTTTATCAAAAATTAGTGCTTGAAATTTTACACCAAATGGAACATTTGATTTAATAAATATAATCTCCTTCATTTGTTTTAATTACATGGCATTCTACTGTAAAACTAAGAATAGACTTCAAAATTTTTTCTTTTTCAATTTTTTTGACTGAACGTGCTATTTTGTCTATCAATGTTGCCATTTTGTTCTTACGTGGTTCCAACTCACGTTTTCAGCAAATTAATGCCATAGGCTATAATCTGCCTTCAAGATATTAGCCTTTATACGAGCTGTGTATGAACGACCAAGAGAGTATAAGAGATTGATAGAGCCGGTGGTTTTCGTCATTTTTATCTATAATCTAATTATCCGCTTAGGAAACCACTCTGCTCAAACTGCAATAGCTTATTCTGGTCCATCATTATTGTTCATATTTACTTTTTATAATTGTTTCTAAATCTTTCATTTTTATCTTTTACCAAATATGTCTAAAACAATTTTTGAATCCAATCGTTTCTGTCTTTATAGAGGATTTTAAGCACTTTCTTTTGATAAAAGAAGTGTTTTAGTCAATGGAATAATATAGAAGAAATTTCAAAATTACTCATAGTGCTATTCTTTATAGGCACTTCCGTTATATTTGTACACTTTCTCGGTGATGAAATCATTTCATCGTCATCTAAATCTTCATATAATACAGATTATGATTGTTTGATACATTCATTTATGCAAGAATACTCGTTAAAGACGAATCATAAGCCTATTGTATTTGCTCAATTCAGTAGCTTTTCGTAATTTTTTATATGGCTTACTACAGTTGGAATTGGAATTTTCTTGTTGAATGTACTACAAATAAGTTATTTGTATAATGAAATACTTGATCTCTTGTTTTTGTCAGCTTAATTTCATGAATATTCAAGGAAGATTATTTTTTAACCTTATTTTCATCTTTACTTCTATCAGAATGATAGAATTATTTCACCATCACAAGATACTTTGAATTCTGTCTTTAAAAAAGACATCAAACTAAATCGATAAGTTTCTCATTACTATTCTTCCAGAAAGTTTCCCAGTGCATCTTCCAAAAAACAAAATCAAGATTATACTATTTATCTCTGCTAAAATATTTGTAAGAACTAGATCCTTCGACAATTATGCTTCAGGCCGTAGGTGTATCTAACTTGCAAAGTAATTTCATCATAAATCGATTTCG